TTCCCCTCCCTGCCACTGTGGTGGGGGGGGGGGATCCAACCCCTGCTGATGCCCCATGCCAGGCCCCCTGGTTACCCCGAGGCCAGCCACGGCCATGCTGTGGGCCTTCTATTCCAGGGTAGGCGTACCCTGCGTTTCCTAAGCTTCCCATTCCAAATGCTGGCTCCACCCTGCCCCAAAAGTGCAGAATTCCTCCAGCAGTAAAATGAAAGCGCTAGGGGACACCCTATTCAATTCAGAGCGCCCCCAGCCTCCCTCCCCGCCGCCACTCGGGTCTCAAGCCGCCATCTGCAGAGCTGCCCGGGGAAATACTCACTTTATCTTGTACGAGCAGAACTGTTTGTTCCCCAGGGTGTCCCAGACAACCTGAATTAAGCAGAGTTCAGTTAGTGCATTTCACAGGGTAGCACGTAGAGCAGCCAGTCACCCCGAGCTCTCACAGCACGTTACAAACATTCTTGGACCATCAGCCCATCTGAGGGAAGAGCTGGGTTGTTATTTCCATTTTACAGAGGGTAACACTGAGGTACAGAGCAGCAAACTGTCGGGGTTAAAGTCAGCAGAACATCCTGGAATTGAACCCAGGAGCCCTGACTTGTGTGGATCTACGACAGCCCACTGCAGGCAAGGAAGCCAAATTTGGAGCCTGGTATTGGTATGGGTATACCCAGCCTGTGTATCCATACTTTCTTCGAGTGGTGTGTGGTTTTCACTGTTTTGAAGGGTGCAAGGAGCACGGAAGGATGCACTGCCGCTGACACATGTTATAAGTTTTCACAGTGTAAAACAAACAACAGCTACAAAATCCCAAAGTATTAAAACCCATGACAATGGATGCAGGGTTTGCCAGGACCACATCCCCCGCTGGGACTCTCACGTTTTCATTTAAACCCAGAACTCTTTAGGAGAGAGACCACCTCTCCTGTGCGGTCCCAGCTCTCCGGTTAGTGTTGGAATAGCGTTGGGTGCCATGACACTCACACACAACAGTACCGCAGCCGGCTGCATTATAGCCAGCTGCTAGCCCATGATGAAGCCGGGACTGTTTGGACAAACCTGCTACCCAGAGCACAGGCACCTCACACGCTCTTGTTGGGTGCCTGCCCAATAACCCTGTTAATTGGCTAACCAGTTAAACATTGTTTAATCAGTTAACCAGTTACAAGGGGGACCCACTGCTTGGCTGGAATGCACCCCTATCCCCATCAGTTCACCTTAACTGGTCAGCCCCATCCATTAAGGGTGAGGCTTCCTGGTTAACCAGTTAAACCATCCCATCCCTGTCCCGACCATGCTCTTTCAGCCCCAGCACAGTCATGGGGGTGACCCTATTTATCTATTTAAATACCCTATTTTTACCCCACCTCTCTATTGAACATACTCCAGGTGGATTACAAATCCAGTTTCCAAGCTATACCGAGCACCCCGTGCAGCCCTGCAGAAAACCTGGTTTCCCATCACCCCTAGATGCAAGGAAGCCGGAAAGGGAGACCCAGATGCTGCCCCATGGGAGACTTGGGTCCGCTTTACCCTGTTCTCCGCCCCATGGGAGCTGGTGGGTCCCCAAGTCCGGCTGGGACCAGGCTCTTTAGGGGCCCCCCAGACAATCGCCCCTTTAGTGCCCCCTATCTGCCACCCCACGTGCTTCCCCTCCCGGACACTCAGGGCCTGCCCCCCGCATTTCCACGTGGGCAAGGAGGACGGGCC